TGTTCACTCAAATAAAGTATTAATTACACTTTACATTATAATGTAGAACATATTTTCGTTTTCTGCTAAAATTTCTCAACTTCGGTCAGAAAAAATTATGCTATAATCCACCAGTCATAAACTTTAGAATAATGGGAAAAAAAAAAATTTAATTAAAAATGTCCTTAAATACTTGAAAAAAACAATAACACAATTTGCAACCTTAGTCTCTTATCACTTGTGGTAGTTTAATATATTATTTCACAGGCATATATTCGTTCACACATTCTCCGAAAAGCAAAGTATAGTTGTCTCACGTTATCAACATTGCTATAAATTTGTGCTTTGTGGTAAAGTCAAAGAGAAGAAGTGTGGCGGTGGTGGAAGAATTCTTTCTAATCAGTTACCACAGCATTTTCACTAATACATCCAATCATCTCAGGAGCAGGTTACTCGTGTCTGGTCTTCACCGGACCAGGTCACTAGAGCCTCTGGTCATCACAGGACCTGGTTACTACAGCATCTAGTCATCACAGGACCAGGTGATTCGACAAAGTCATCGCAGGACCACTTTACTAAATCTAGTCATCACAAGACCAGGTTACAGTGTTTCTGGTCATCACATGACCAGGTCACTGGAGTCTTTGGTCACTACACGATCAGGCCACTAGTGCCTCTAATCACCACTGCTTCAGCTCGCAACATCAACAGGCCACCACAATAGCTCATTGTATCACCACACATTCATCCTGCAACATATCAGATAATGTCACTTAAAAATTTACTTTTAAAATAAACAAATAGCGATTTTTTAATATAGACTAGTTGTATTTTTACTGGATATATTAGGTTTATTCCGATGATACATTTCCACACCTAATACACTAAGAGCTTTATGAGGGAAATAAAATATTGATCTAGCATGAGCTAGATAATAACAAAGCAAAGAACGGGTGGAACTTAATTATTATTATTATAATCAAAAAGAAGCGCTAAGCCAAGGGTGGAACTTAAACCCATGGCACGTGACTCCTAAAACTCACACTCGAGCATTAATTACTGGAGCAGGTGGTTCACGAAGATTCATCCTCCAAGGTATATTTCACCATAGGGAGGTTAGTCTGGACCCTACTGTTTGCAATCGTGTTGCTACGATTTTATGAGTCATGATGGCGACTTTGAGTGGACTTGAGTACGCCACAGCCACGCTGGTATGGGATTTGTCTGTGGTCACAGTGGTGGCTCATGCTAACCTCCCCTGTGGTGTATAGAACCAACTGGCCCAGTCGTTAACACACTGGTCTGTGAGTTTACGGACTCAATTGCCATGGGTTCAAACCCAACATGTTCTCTGATTTGCTGACAATCGCGTTACGATTTCGTGAGTAATTATAATAATAATATGTTGCTCAGTACTTTGGGTAATTTATTAAGTACATTACTCCATGATGAACGCTTACCAATTTTAGAGAGGTGTTCAAGCATTTATTTTTTGTAGTATAAACCTAAATCTAACAGCCCTATTAAAAATACAACTAATTTTGTTTACACAATACACGAAATATTTCCAAAACATCTACACAATAAGAGTGAAGTAATTATTTCAACGGGTTTTCGTGATCTGAAAAGTAGTGAAATGGCCTGAGCCACAGGAAAGTAAAACGTGAAAAAACTGTAAGTCACTAAAGTAAATTATGACTGGAGAGAGAGAAAGATACCAAAGGTACTTGTCGTTAGACACTTGGTGTGTGTACTCACCTAGTTGAGGTTGCAGGGGTCGATTCTAAGCTCCTGTGTGGTGTGTGTGTGTGTGTGTGTGTGTGTGTGTGTGTGTGTGTGTGTGTGTGCGCGCGCGCGCAGTATTAGTAGCAAATAACTGTGTGTGTGAGTAGTACTAGTAGCAGCAGTAGTTACTAGTATGTGTGTACTCAGCTAACTGTGGTTGCAGGGGTCGAGACTCAGCTCCTGGCCCCGCCTCTTCACTGACCGCTGCTGGGTCCTCCCTCTCCCTGCTCCATGAGCTTTATCATACCTCGTCTTAAAACTATGTATGGCTTCTGCCTCCACTACATCGCTTGCCAGACTATTCCACTTCCGAACGACTCTGTCCTGTGACTGAAGAAATACTTCCTAACATCCCTTTGATTCATCTGAGTCTTCAGCTTACAATTGTGACTCCTTATGTCTGTGTCCCATCTCTGGAACATCCTGTCTCTGTCCACCTTATCTATTCCACACAGTATTTTGTATGTCGTTATCATATCTCCCCTGACCCTCCTATCCTCCAGTGTCGTCAGACCGATTTCCCTTAACCTTTCTTCGTAGGACATTCCCCTTAGCTCTGGAACCAACCTTGTTGCAAACATTTGCACTTTCTTTAATTAATTTCTTGACGTGCTTGACCAGGAGTGGGTTCCAAACTGGTGCTGCGTACTCTAGTATGGGCCTGACGTACACGGTGTATAGTCTTGAACGATTCCTTACTGAGGTATCGGAACGCTATTCTCAGGTTTGCCAGGCGCCCATATGCCGCAGCAGTTATATGGTTAATGTGTGCTTCTGGCGACGTGCTCGGTATTGTATACTCACCCCTAGTTCTTTCTCCTTGAGTGAGGCTTGTAGTCTTTTGCCTCCTAGCCAATACTCTGTCTGCGGTCTTCTTTGCCCTTCTCCGATCTTCATGACTGCATTTGGCGGGGTTAAATTCTATGAGCCAGTTGCTGGACCACGCGCCCGGCCTGTCCAGGTCTCTTTGTAGACCTGTCTGATCCGTATCTGATTTAATTCTCCTCATTAACTTCACATCATCTGCAAACAGGGACACTTCTGAGTCTATCCCTTCCGGCATGTCATTCACATATACCAAGAATAGCACTGGTTCCAGGACTGACCCCTGTGGGACCCCGATCGTCACATGCGTCCACTGTGATACCTCATCACGTACCATGACTCGCTGTGCCTCCCTGTTAGGTATTCTCTGATCCACTGCAGTGCCCTTCCTGTTATACGTGCCTGATCCTCTAGCTTCTGTACTAATCTTTTGTGAGGAACTATGTCGAAGGCCTTCTTGCAGTCCAAGAAAATGGTGTGTGTGTGTGTGTGTGTGTGTGTGTGTGTGTGTGTTCCTTGGTGTTGAGAGGTGAGAGGACACAGGCGTCAGCAGAGAGATCCAGCACCAATATTTAATGTGGTGTCCACAAGCAGGGTCGCCCTGGCTAGCCTCGTGTATAAGTTACATGGTGGTACGGCCATGTTGCTCCACGTATAGACATACACATTCGCTTCTCACTTTATCTACTTTAAAATACACAGAGTTTAAGAATAACTATAACACACAGCTAAAGTCTGATTTCATTCACACAGAGTTTGTGTATGTATAATTAAAACAGAGGCCTAATATGACTATAACACAGGCTGAAACATAACTATAACTCAGTTCTGAACTATACCTATAATGCACAGTCGAAGTATAACTACTTTAACTCAAAGCAGGCGTATAACTCAGCTGACACATAACTACACCTCAGAGCTGAAGTATAACAGCCTCAAAGCTGAGATATTGCTAAAACTCACAGCTGAAGTATAACTATAATTCAAAGCTGAAGTATAACTACAACTCACAGATGAATCATACATGATGTCTATTGTCTATCAAGATGGTACCTTTAACAGTGAGAGTGTGCGGTGTGTCTGAGAGGAGAGTGAACACAGTGAAGGTGAAGAGGACATCTTTTGTACATCGAATGCTGGTTTATTATATCTAGTTGACGACATGAGTCAAGACGGACTGAATCAGACAGATCCGTCCGTCTCCCCTCCCCCCTCCCCCTCCCCTCCCCTCTCTCTCCAACACACGCATTGTTCACACAAATTATAATGAATTAATTTGAAAGAATGTCTATTTCATGCTGATGAATATTGCGCCAAGATTAGACATCACATGCCAGGGCATGTGCAGTCAGGTTTTAACACTCAAACTTCTCACTTATATCTCATAATATAATATAAATACAAAGTTATATCCAACGATTTTTGTCTACTGAATCAATGATGAAATTCTACTGCCCCTTGTGATGTGCAGCCTTCTTGAATAAACTTAGTTACTTACTTATGGTATTATTAACACTAACACTGGTTAAATTAAGTTTCGTGTAATCACTGAAGGAATAATCATTAAATTCTCTTGTAGGATAAATGAATAAGATGGCAACGAGCAATTTATCAACTACAACAGGACTGCACAACCCTCACATGACTTGTGTCCTGCTGGAGCTACCAACTCCTGATGACCTTTACAGAGCTCCACTCTACATCAACGCTCACCAAACACGTGAACACATACACCTATTATATTATATAATATATATATATATATATATATATATATATATATATATATATATATATATATATATATAATATATATATATAATATATATAATATATTAATTATATATATATATATGTATATATATATATATATATATATATAATATATATATTAATATATATATATATATATATATATATATATATAATATATATATATATATATATATATATTATTTTTATTATCACACTGGCCGATTCCCACCAAGGCAGGGTGGCCCGAAAAAGAAAAACTTTCACCATCATTCACTCCATCACTGTCTTGCCAGAAGGGTGCTTTACACTACAGTTTTTAAACTGCAACATTAACACCCCTCCTTCAGAGTGCAGGCACTGTACTTCCCATCTCCAGGACTCAAGTCCGGCCTGCCGGTTTCCCTGAACCCCTTCATAAATGTTACTTTGCTCACACTCCAACAGCACGTCAAGTATTAAAAACCATTTGTCTCCATTCACTCCTATCAAAGCACGGCTCATGAACATAAATCCTTGCTGGAAGTCCAAGCCCTCGCACACAAAACCTCCTTTACCCCCTCTCTCCAACCTTTCCTAGGCCGACCCCTACCCCGCCTTCCTTCCACTACAGACTGATACACTCTTGAAGTCATTCTGTTTCGCTCCATTCTCTCTAC